GGGTTATGGAATTATTGACACAATGGTTGTAGATCATGATAATGGTGGATTTTTAGTAAATAATGTAATCCAACTCAATTTAAAAGCCAACGGGAGTCTTAGCTGGTCAATTCAAGGCATGTGGCTGCAACCACACATTAGTTTTCATTCAACAAATCTTATGATGATTTCATGGAAAAATGGTACTGACTTTCAGAGTGATTGGATAGGCTATGTAGTTATCAACAACACTGATATAAATTCATTGGGTATAAATCCAATTGGTGATCAAGGCCAATCAACTGATCTTCCAACAAGAAGCATCATGTATGGTCGGATGATACAAGTTCTTCTTATGGAAGGATTAAATATGACAGCAAATGGGACCTTTTTTAAGTCACCAGTTCTGTTTAATAATTTTTTTGACCAAAAACTGTTGATTCAAAAAGCAATTTTCGTGGATATTTCAATATAGGTGTTGAATTTAATGATACACTTAGCTTGGATGCTGAAATTTGGTGTGAAGGATATACTGGAATTGACAATATTTCAGAAAATATAGTTGGTGTTAACTGCTGGACATTACTTGGATTTCTCATACAAACTACACAAGGTACTGAACAAACTTTTTACAGCTGTGCTAGCGCAGTTGAAGCAAGTGTAAAGACTATCAAATTGCAATCTAGCACAACAGGAGCATTTAATGTAACAGATGTGCAAACTATTCAGCCCAACGTTATGTTGAAAAGGTCTTAATATTACTGACATGGACACTTGGTAGAGCGGAGTTGAATTCAGAGAAACTTCCTAACAATGGTTTATTAGTAGGTAAAAGCACTCTTTGTTACCAGCAGAGCTTCCAACTTATTTGGATCTAATTCTGACGCGAAAGCTGCTCCTGCTGTTGCAGTATACATTATGTTTAACTTTGTGGATGGTTTTAACAGTTATCAGGCAGATGGTATTGGAAATTTGGCTTTATAACAACAATGGAATTGTTGAAAAAGGCATATATATCCCTATTACTATAAAAATTTTTATGGAAAATGTACGGAATCTCACAAAGTCTTCTTGTAATATGTAAATAATATAAAAGACAGTATTTTCATTTTTTGTGTTTAGTATTCCGTTGGATTTTTTCTGTAGGGTACCTAATAAATATTTTGATAGATGCTAAATTTGGTTGTGATACAATAATAATAAGAAGAACTGGTAACATATCATTCTACTCTTGAGAGTCACTTCATGTACATCTTTAATATGATGTTTGGTAATTAAAATGTAATGACTTTTTGAATTGGGAGAATTCAGAGGAACAAAAATTTTTACCCTTTGAGTATTATGTCAGGTTCAAGGGCAGGAAAGGGATTTCTTTAATTTTTAAACTTAAGCATTTTAATTTCAAAGACTTGGATAAATGCAAAAAATCCATTTCAACAAAATAAAAACAAAGTAGAAGGAAAACCTTGAATTTATTACACTTTTGGATTTGGAACGATGAAAATAATAATATAAATATTTTCCTTTTTCTTTTTAGTGTATTTATTTATCTAATGGTTTATTATTAAAAGATTAGTTGACGTTGAAGATAATAAAAATAGATGTATAAAGAATTAAGGCGTGTGTAGGCAAAAAGATATTGGATTCGTTAAACAAGGCTTTTCCTATAATTCCTTTTTTTTTTTTTATTGTTGTTAGAGATTATGTATAAGTTTAGTTGGTATTTTTAGTAAAGTTAATCGACACCCTTCAATTGGTTTGGTGGAAGAGTGCGTTTCAATGAAAGGTTTGTGTCGCATATCTTTTTCTGAATAAGGTATGGATACTGCCATTGGTATATTCAAGCAATGTTGTCGAATTACGTGGTCATTTGCCAACACTATTAAAAATAAAGACCAAGAATTTGCACATTATTTTTTCGAAGAATGGATGCGTCGTGGTAATTCAATCTTTTTGTAAAATATTTTAATGTGTGGTAAGTCTATATATTAATATGAACGAACCGTTTTAAAAGTTTTATAATACTAATTATATATTTAAATTTATTTTTAAGTTAATATAAAAAAAAAATAAAGAAAAATTTAAAAAAAATCATAAGAAAATATTATCATAAATTAAATATAATATAATTATTACGATTAAAAAAATTTGTTTGCCAAAAAATTAATTGATTTCCAATTTCGAATTGGATGTTTAATCGAGTTCAAGTTTGTCTGCCAAAATAATAAATTTGACTGTGAATTCAATACTGGAATTTCTCCATGAATTCGTAAAAACTTTTGTCAACTCCGCATTACTAATGTTAAAATTAGGAATTTGTCGTAGTTCGCCTAACAACGCAAGATAGAAAAGTGATTGCGGAGCTGATAAATCTGAACTGGTGTTGTTTCCAAGAAGTATTTGTGCTTTTTCAAGATCAGGTACGTAAATTGCAATGAACTGGCCATTAGATAAATTGGCAGTGGTGGAAATGTTATCACAGTTGTTACCATTATCAGGAGTAATTTGAATTTCAGAGGCAGTCATAAAAGTACTGGTTAATTCTATAAAATAAAAATATTATTTATTAGAAATGGAATTATAAATAAGCTTATATAAAAGTTAACCGTAAATCGATAAATTCAAATTTTACATTTGAACCATGCGTGTGACTTTCTTTTTGTATTGAGATCATTCGATATAATGAATTGTATATCGATTTCAGAAGCGCCAACCAATTAGGGATGGGGCGGTTCCACTAGGGAACTGGTTCTGAACCGAACCGAACACAGAACTGCGAACCGGTTCCAGAACCGAGTTCTAACCGTTCACCATGTGATTTATACCTATATGAGGAAATCCTGAGTTAATCT